TGCCTCTCAGCCCCTGCCCCGGCAGCTCGTCTGTGGGCAGCGTTCGGTTTCGGTGCTGCTGACCGGCGTGCCGCGTTTGTTCGGGCACGGACAGCTTTTGCTCCCAGCGTCGCGCTTATTCACGTTCAGGCAACGCCGCCTGTAAAAAGGTGTTTTAAAAGTCCTCGGCCCGACGTCACAGCTCTGATGCGTGTAATCGATGCTTCTGCCTTCCAGTAGCGTGTCTCAGATGAAGTCGCGAGTGTCCAAAACAATCTCTTCCCTTCCTCTAGTCGGTTTTGTCCAGTCTTTTAATCCCCTCAGTTGGAGGGGCTCGCGTCAGCCGCTGGGCAATACTGTTGGAAGAGACCGTGTGTCTGTTTGCTGCTGCTCAGCTCTCCCAGGCCGCCTGACCGCCTGTCTGACCAGCTGAGCAGCTTGGCATGAAGGACTCGCTACAGGTTCCAGCAGCCTGTACTTCCCAAGCAGTCGTATACGCTTAGGAGAAGTGTACGTCCTTGGATGATGCTCAGGTGTCAGAGAGCTGAAAGCTTATTTAGTATTCTCCCTTTGCGTTTCTGCCTTTGTAACCTTTGCAAATTTCCTGGTGTTATTGTTTATCCCTTATCCTGGCTATTAATATAGATGCAATTCCTGTCATCGCTTGTAAACTCATATTTGGGGTGCCCGATAATTGGGGGGGGGGTTGCGTGTTGAAAATAGCAGCAGTTAAGAAACTGATTCAGACGCTGCTATTTGGGGGATATGTTATGTGTCAGAAAGTGAGGAGGTGCTGACGCACTTATCTTTTGTGCTCTCTGATTTCAGTCTATCAGAGCTGAAAGAGGGACTTGAGCAGGTAGGTGAGAAGTAAAGGTGTTTGTCTTCCTTCTTAGAGCTCCGTTGCAAACTACAAAAAAGCAAATGACAAATGAGTAGTCAAGACGAGAAGCTTTGGCAGAGTGCAAGAGATCAGGGATGGAAAGTGAGTCTCGGCAAAGAAAAATAAGTACAGATCCGACCAAGCAGTAAAGCTTTTTTTGAAGGCGGTAACTTGTGTTGGTAGTTTGTTGGTAGCAGCAGACAAGGAGCCAGTGGAAGGATATAAAGCAGGGAACTGTCTGATCAACTTGACAGACAAACTACATAGACTTCTCAGCTGTATTCATCTCTTTTCATTTCATAAAAAAATACAACGTAAAAGTCTGGGATGATTTACAGTAGCTGCGGTGTGAATGGAGACTGATTATGAAATTTGACTGTTAAGATAGAAAAAAAAATCAAGACTAGAGCATTCCTGGTTGAGAATTACTGTGACCTGAGTGTGGGATGTTTGTGGCACGGAGTAAGCGGTCCAGCTGAAATGGACTTGAAAACAGAATGTGAAATTATGGCTATTGTTTCTAACTTTTGATGCCTGGTATCTTGTTACAATTGTCATAATTAACAGCTGTGTAGGAGATTCTCTTCATTCTGATGAACTGACAAAGGCTGGAGCTGCAGCTCAGCCACTTTTTTGAGAGTAAGTTCTGCTACCCTTTTCCATTTACAGGTCACTTTCATGGTAAGCACTGTGCAAATGTCACTTAATCTCTCTTTTTTCAGAACATAACCGTGGGCTTCTGTGCTAGTGGTGCAAGAGGACTTTCATGGTCCGCTATGGTACAGGGAGACAATATTTAAGTTGAGCTAAGTATTGAAACATAAAAGGGACACAGTCAAATGTTTTAAGAATTAAAAAAAATAAAGCATCTTTCAGGAGAAAACAAACCTCATTTTCTTTTCTGACCGTCGAGCAAAAGAAGAAGTGGGGAGCCTAACCACACCTAGCTTCTGCCTCTGCGTTAAGTGCAAACTGTAACAGTTGAGGTTAGATTATGGTAAACTGTTACCAAGCGCCAATTCACTTGTTTAAATCCTCCAGTATAGGGTGGTGGTGTATTAACTTGTTACAGATGGCTTTTATAATAATGCTGTTAGATATTTGTTCACCTGAAAACTTGTATACAATGTATTCCAGATATAATTGTTTATAAAGAAGGGCTAGCGTAATTAGTTAGATGAATAGTGGCTGGATCTCTAGGTGTGGAATGCAGTGTTATTGATGAATATACTATGTGACTTTGATCTGCTTAAAATAATTTAATTCAGACTTGTGAAATGTGTACAAAGAAAAAAAGCTGATCGATTTTGAAGCATTGAAACTATTACATGTTTTAACCTAGTCTACAGTATCGCTAAGTAAAAGAGGATAAAATCATAGCCAATTAGTTAGCCTTCTATTGCTAAAATACTTCTGAAACCCACCATGTTACTGACACAATTACATTTTTGGAACACCTTCTAATTTGTAATTTTCTTATACTGAGTAACTCTCTTATGATAAAATAATTTTTAAAAGCTCTATTGAGGACTGGGAGGTTTTGTGATTTTTTTCCCCCCTCGCCTCCCCCCAAGTTGTTTTGAATATCTGAGGAAAAATATCTGCTCTGTGCAGGGAAGCAGTTTACCAACTTCCTGCTACTTTTTTCCCCTGGAAAACGTATTTGTTTTCTTTGTCCCCTGTTGGCTCTGATGTTATTATGGTCCTCCCCTATCGTTTCGTGGTGCTTTTTGTTTCTCTGATAACCATCTACTAATTTATTTCCACTATTGTTCATGCATGAAATATTTCCACCATACTACTACAAAGCAGGATGAAATTGCGTTTAGGTATTTCCACCGTCTGCTTCCCTGGTATTTCTAGAGGGCACAACTATTGAGCACAAGTTAGTGTCTCGAATGAATTAAAAACTGCAGGGTTCATATAGCAAGGATCAGCTTTAGTAATCTGAATGTTTTGAGATATATGAATAAATAGGCAGCAGAGAAATGAAATCTGTTTTCTTCTGGGCCTCATTCCGAGGCCCCTGTGGCCGAGTGGGGTTGGAGATGGGGGTGCCCCAGACAGGGGTGCCCCGCAGGGGCCGCTTCCCTGCGCTGCCTGGGCCCAGGGCTGGGCCCCCTCACTTTCAAATTTCTTAGTTGCCTGGGAAACAGAGCAGTCTGTTTCTGTGGAAATGGGTATTTGACTCTTTCTGGCTAGCGGCTGTGAGGATCTTGGGTTATGAAACAGTCCCGACACTGAATGCAGGCTGCTAGGTTGGCCATACTTGCTATTGTGTTAACTTGAACAGACTCGCAGCAAGATACATGTATTTGCTAGTGGTAGATACGGTTAAGCTAAAAGTTGTTTTCTTTAACAAAGTTGAAGATGATTCCTCGTAGTGACAAGATACGTTTTGTAAGTTTGCTCTTTATTTTTTTTTTATGATAGCAAGCAACTACTTTGCAGTTCAACCCATTTTTGTGAAGATTAATTTTATCTTGTCCTTTGTGTAACTCAAGTGATCTAAACTTTTATCCCTTAAAAAGGAATTTTCTTTCTTTTAACAGCTCATTTGAAGAGAACTACTGCCCTAGATTTAGGGGGAAAAATGCATTAAAAGCTGGATTTAGGAAAAAAATAGATTTTAAACATAACGAGTTTTTTTGAACTATATTCATCCCATATATATATATATATATGCACATACATACACACACACACATATATATATATGAGAAAAAAATTAATGAAGGTACCTACTAAGGGTTGATTTTTCTCACTATGAGCAAAAACTTAACAAACATCAGTGAAGTTAAGGTGGTATTCCTAAGACTCGCACTAACTTGATATATATCTTCTTTTTAACTTTCACGTGTACTTACTATGGGAACGCATTGAATTTTCAAAACATTATTTAGCTAGAGGATGTAGTAGATTTGTTGTTAATGTTGGCTTTATTATTGATGTGTTACTTTTGGTTTTTTTCAGTGTTTGGAATACATCACTTAAAAACATGAAACTATTAACATAAACCAAAACAAACTCCTTTTGCCACAGTGACTGATTGGGAAAGCTGAAAAATAAAGGGCTGTGGCTCCCCAGTACGAAGAGAAATACTTAATAGTCTTTAGTAAGAACAATGTGTTACATAAGTAGATTTAGTGTCAGAAAGTTGTGAATATCTTTCGCTAAATGACTGGTAGTACTTGATACTAATTCTCTGTAGCTAGGAGGTTGTTTTCTTCTGACTTTTCTGAAGGTCTGTTTGAAAAGTGGAGTTCAAAGAAGTGAACTAATGCTTTAGGTTAATTAGCTATAAATAAATTACCTGAAATATGTTGGATAGTTTTTTTTTTTTTTTAAGATGAATTAATCAAAATATGTTTTGTATTTAAAATTGGCTTATTAAAAAAAAAAAGTAAAAGTAATACCTCCTTGAGTTGAACTTGATATTTCGGGTAATGACGACCTTCAACTGCTAGACAACTTTTATCATTCTCTCTTAATCACAGTTTAAAAAAAAAGTCTGACCAGACTTTCCTAGTTAAACGCTTTCACTTTTGAGTATACTAAACTATCTGAATAAAGTGAGATAAACATGCTTATATCTGTACAACTAGAATAAGCTTCTCTGTTAATAGCTGACTTACTTAACTCTCAAAGACCCTGGGTCTAAGTATTTAGCTTCTGATTTCTATCAGTTTAGCTCTGTAACTTCTGCAGAAAACATACTGCTTAGTTTGTTTATCGTAAATTGTTCAGTGGGTAGTGTCAAACTTAGTCCTTACTGTTTTTCATGATTGCAAATTCAATTTAAGGTTTTGTTTGTATTAAAAAAAAAAAGTGTAATTAACGGTTAAATTATTTGTAAATAAATTAATTTAAAATAAAGCAAATCTTATTAATCTTGATGTCAATGAGAAACGATATATCAATACAAAAGTATGCTACTGCATTTAAAAAGATTAGGAGGGCACATTTGAATAAAATAGCCTCCTTAAATATAGCTCACCGACAGTTATTTTCCTGACTGAATAAAATAAGCCACTGAAGGTTGAAATTCAATAGCATATTGTGCAGCTGCAGTAGCCCAGCTGCATGTTAGTTCTCTGAGATTTGGGGTTAGACCCGAAGTAGTGAGTCTTTGATAGGTATCAGAACTTGAACAGCTTCTTTTTGCAGTGTAGTGAAACCTAAATAGTTGATGCTAGAATTCATAGAAGGGACAGGAAAGTGTGACACAGAGATAATGAAAGTTAGAATTACTTTTCTTATTTTTTACAAAAACCAGTATGATTTATTATGAAAACTGACATTTATGTTATTGTTTGTGACTTTTCAGTGTGATTTTACTGAGTTGGCAAAGAAATAGAAGGAAACATTACAAAGGATGAAAAATGAGAGTTTTTTTTTTTTTTTGGTTCAAGTAACCCAGGAGTTAAAAGCAATAACACTACAAGTCTAATTACTATCAGTACAATTGTATTTAAGGACCAATAAGTTAGACTACCTTATTTGTGCCAGAATCTATAGGTAGCTTTTAGTAGATTTGACTGCTTAATGCTCGAATGACTATTTATATTACAAAAGTAGTATTGAGACAAGTTACAAAAATAATTTGTTAATGTAGTTATTACTCTGTTCTTATGGGGAAAAAGCTACTCATAGTGGGAGATAACGTTTAGGTAATTTAGAAATTATAGTCTGACTTTTATTACTCCCTTCTCCTGGTTCTCACTGGAAAAAAAAAAACATAGGTTGCTTCTTTTTCCACCTTTTAAGGTAGAAAGTGGAAATGGGAGAACAGTATCTAGTCACTTAAGTACAGCTTATACTTTGATAAAAATCTTTAAAACATTGTTTTTGGGGGGGGAGTGCCTCCCCTCCCTCCCTCCCCCCCCCAGCAATCAAAAGAATAATTTGGGTTAGGTTACTGATCGCTAAATTTCATGTTTAGATGTTCAGGCACTTAGGTCACTAAAACAATTTTGAAGTAGTTGATTTGTAGAAACAGATTAAATTGTATTTGCTTTTTGTTTTTGTTTTCTTTTGTAGGACATGCATCACTTTGAGGAAGAATTAACATGTTCCATTTGCTATAGCATATTTGAAGATCCACGTGTTCTGCCTTGTTCGCATACATTTTGTAGAAATTGTCTGGAAGGTGTTATTCAGCTGTCAAGCAACTTTTCCATTTGGAGACCATTGAGAGTTCCACTGAAGTGTCCTAACTGTAGGAGTATTGTTGAAATTCCTGCATCTGGTACTGAGTCATTGCCTATCAACTTTGCATTAAAAGCTATTATTGAAAAATACCGGCAGGAGGATCAGCCTGATGTTGCAACCTGTAGTGAACATTACAGACAACCACTGAATGTTTACTGTCTTTTGGATAGAAAATTAGTGTGTGGTCACTGTCTTACAATAGGAAAACATAATGGTCATCCAATAGATGACCTTCAAAGTGCCTATGTAAAAGAAAAACAGACTTCTGGAAAAATTATTGAGCAGCTAACAGATAAACACTGGACTGATGTATGTTTGCTTATTGAAAAGTTGAAAGAACAGAAATCCCAGTGCGAAAACATTGTTGAAGATGATAAAAAAGTAGTACTACAGTATTTTAAGAAACTTAATGATACAGTGGAGCATAAAAAACAAGCGTTGCTGACTGCACTGGATGAAATTAACAAACGCATTTTGGAAGAATATGAGCCTCTAATTGAAAAGTTGAAACAAATAAGGGAAGAGCAGCTTGAATTAATGTCACTGAACACATCTATTCAAAAAGAGGAGTCCCCACTTATTTTTCTTGAGAAGGTTGATGATGTACATCAACGTATAAAAGCTTTGAAACAAAAGCAACTACCGGATGTTAAACCTGTTGAGATTTATCCAAGGATAGGGCACCTGTTGAAGGATGTGTGGTCTAAAACTGAAATTGGTCAGATCAACAAGATCCTTACTCCAAAAATAAAACTGATTCCAAAAAGGAAGTTATGCAGCAAAAGCAGTGAAAAGGAAAGAGGAAAATCTAAAGAATTCTTTCAGGCTATAAATCCTCTAACAGTCATGCTACTTTTTATAATAGTGATAACTATGCTTTCATTACACAAGCCAGTATCATCAATTGTAAATGAAATTACTCCCACTTATATTTCAGAATTCTTGTTATTTGTTTATCAAGATTTCTGCACCCATTTGCAGACTGTAGCGGATGTGCTGTGCCATGTGTTAAATTTACTGATGGAACTTTTAGGGAGAATCGCTTATTTTTGAATAATGCAAATTATTGGATTAAAAATTAATATAGGAATCCCCATGATACCCTTTTAAAGTTTCTGCTTAAAGCTGGGTTGTTTACTAAAACTGTACATTTTTCTTTTTCCATAGCTCTCCTTTTTGTTTTGAGTTTCCTTTCATCTAGGTAGAATACCTAGAAAATATAACTCTTAGTTAAATGAGAAGACTTACAATGAAGAGACTCGCTTTTCTGCTTGTTCCGATATGATAGGTAGGTAGGTAACAAATAGTTGGGTTTCTATTTGTTTAAACTGGAAGCTAGTCAGAAATAATGTCTGTGTAAGAAAGCTATAGGCAAGTTACAAATTATAACCTAGAGGAGTTTGAAAAGCTCTTCAAACATTTACTATACTTCCCCCCCCCTCCTTAAGCAACATAATTTAAATAGTTTTGTAATAAAAGCACTACACAATTAAAAAAAAAACCAACCAAACAAAAAAAACCCTCAAATCCAGAACAGGGTAGTCCAAGGAGAATCAGTCAGTCCCTAATTCTGGTGTACATAAAGTTCATATTTTGTATTTTATTGACCTCTCTAAATATATTTTAATTGATGTATCTGTGGTCTTTTAATCATGTATTAGTTGATCTGGGTTTCATTTTGTTGATTCCTGCTTACTAGTGGACGATATAGTTTCATCTTTTTAAAAAAAACCTGTGTCTAACAGTCTTGTGTCTTTCAAGTAGTTATCACCAATTTTCAGATCAGTGTCTGTAATACTTCTGGTAAAATATTGAATATAATTTTTAGTTTCAGCTGTGTATAGCAGGAAGTTCTTGCTGCTTACTAAAATGAGCCCTTTTTGCTATGTCATTTAATATGTAGTGAAAATAGCCATGTAGTTTAATAAATAGCAAAACTCCCATTGAAATCAGTGGTATAAGGATGTCAAATGTTGTTAAGAACCCATAAAATACCTTGAAAATGAGTGTACATTTATTTTCAGCTTTTCATCACAAATAATGGGGATTGTTACCTTGATATAGAACAAAAATGATGGCTTTTTATTCTATAATCAAATAATTATTAATGCAGGTAGTTTCTTTTGATGAGCTACTCCAGTCTGAACTGTGCTTAGTAGCAAAATTCCAAATGAAAGTAATTTTTGACCTTCAGTTATTAATAAATAGGCTGATTACATTATGTACTGGGATATCCTTTAAGTAAGTGTTGTAATTAAAGTATCAGAACACAGATGAGCTTCCAATTAATTCACTAATGACTTTATAAAAACAAAAAATGAGTATTTACCATGTTTGTTTAATGGTATTTGATTTGTTAGAAATGAAAAAATGTATATTCTGCTGTTGAATATTTTTAAATAGTAAAAGTTGTTTAAATAGTGATTGAATTCTGAGGCTAGCCTTCAGCTGTTTGACACTTAAAAAAAAAAAAACATTTGGAAATGAAACATGCCTCTTCCTACTTGCTGTCACAAATGGGGGTCCTGCAAGATATCAGTTGCTGCGCTTGACCTTAGTGAGAGCTGAGCGCAAGATTAATCCTCGAGTTTGAGGCTGTGATGTATTATTTAAGGCCAAATAAAGATTCTAAGAATATTGACATCTTGATATTTATAAAGCGTTAATTAAGCCTAGCCAAACAAATACTGTTTACCACTATTCTGTGCAGCTTGGTGGTTTTTATTATTTCTATTTGAATGAAATGTATGGACAAGCAATGCTTGAGAGGAGTGGGCTTTACCTATTTCTTGGGAACAGTTTCTGTAACCTGTACTCAAGTTTCCTGTAATCTATCTCTGTTAGAATTACAGAGGCAAATCCTATTAATTCCAAAGGTCAGGTTTTGAAATAGTGTTTAGGTATAACCTGGGACTTTCAAATGCTCTCATTAGTTTAAAAATAAAATTTTGGAATTTGGCTTTCTAGTAGGTGGGGTGTTTTTTTTTTTTTTTTTTTTTTTGGCCTTGCTGGATGGCTATTATTTGGCATGTAAGTCTCAAAACCTGGGGCTAAGTGTATATCCACTACCAAGTGAGGCTTCTTTTTTGACCTATCATCATCTTCCCCTCATTTATGTTATTTTTTTTCCTGACAGTTAAAAATCTTACTTTAAGTAAGCTTATAATGCAATTTTATTTTTCCGGACATCATGAATTTATAAAATAACCTTTACCACTGATTAAAACATTTAGTATTTGTACTTATCAATGTACTATATATTTTAATAAATTTGCATACAAATAAAATGTATTCTTACATTAAGATTGGCTAATACCTTGATTTCCTTACTGTACAAAACCCTCCCTGTAACCCTAAACAGAGCTGAAACATTGGGCTAAACGGGTGATGTGAGACAGGAGTAGCAAATTTCACTAAAGAAAGAACACGCTGTTGAAATGCTGTGTGTGTGTGATTTTTCTCCTAGTTACACCACTTTCTGTAGCATGAATTTTAGGAAGATTCCAAACTATAATTTGGCCTATTTGGATTTCCTGTTATTTCATGTTGCCTGTCACAGGCTTTATTATTATTATTATTATTTTTTTATTTTTCCATCTGTGATGGTGAATTGATGAGGCTTAGTACAATTTCTGATGAGGTTTGGTCTACATTACTGTGTTTATATGTCATGCTGCAGAGCCACACTACACATCAGGCTACAAGGAAGTGATGCCTGCAACACAAGCTATGGAGCTTCAAGTAAGACTTATATTGAGACTTTGTCTTGTTAGTCTGAGCTTCTTTGGGAGTTGGCTTGTGGTGAGATGTAGATGGCATTGCCCTCCTGAACCATTGCGCAGAACTGCTGTCTAAACATTTTAATAGTTAGCTGTAGCATAGTAGTTGTTTAGCTGTACATTTGACATACAAGCCAAGCTAATGACAGTACCAGGGTAAATACTAGTGTTTGATTAAGCTTGTGTAGTTACCATTGGACTAATGATGTCTTCCAGTGTAGTGTAGAATGATCCCCTGCATAAATCTTGGCTCTTGGGAACTGTACTTCTCCAAGTATTTAGCAGCCTGAGTGGTGAATGCTGCAGCCTTCAAAATTGTGTGTGACAGATGCTGTTTCTACTGTTGGGGCCTGTGCAGAAAGACCTGGTACTAAGATCTAGCTAAAGGACAGAGCAGGGCACAGCTGATAAAGGCAACTGTTCGCCCATCCTTGCCTCGCAGGAAGAATGCGGATGAGAGAATACACTAGGAAGTGCTGTGAGCAACTTCTCAGTTGTGTGATCCTAGAGTATTGGGACAGGAGCAAATCAAGAAAAGCTGCTTCAGCTCTGCTGTTTTCCCTCTTCGATGCTGGATGGAGGACCTGTCTGCTGACAGAGGTAGAAACTTTCTTTAAAAAATAAATAAATAAATAAATAAATATATATATATATATATAAAGAAGCTTCTTTTCTGGAAGCATGAGTCTTACTGCAGGAATTTTTCTTTTCTTTTTTTTTTTTTTTTAAACAAGTTAAAAACAGCTTGAAAGAGATTAGCTGTTGAGATCCCATGGAGGAACAGAGACAAGCTTCCAGGTTATCACTTAGACTCACAAACATATTTCATTGCCTGGTGACCAGGCAGCATACTAGAAACAGCAAGGATATCTGAAATACCAAGGTGGCTTCTGGCCACTTAGTGGTATTGGGGCAATCACTCTTCTGAGGTCTTCTCTTGCAGCTGAAAATAATGAACAGTTGTTTCCTAGTCACCATCTCCCACTGCTAATTATTATATTGTCCTGTCATCGTTTCCCTTGCTCTTCAGCAAAATTTCTAAGACATCTTCTCAGTCAAAGCTCAGAAGTAGCATATTTTCCTTACCTGTCATCTACTCCCCAGTGACGATGTTTGTCCTCAACTTGCCTCTGTGACTCTCTCCTCCGGTTCTCCAGCTGGTTTATTGATTATTCCTTCAGTGTGCTTTAGAAGAGCTTCTTTTGTACTGTACTTTTTTGTTCTTCGCTAATCTTACCCATAAATCTATTCTGAAGCTGTACTTCAAGATTTTATAGCTTCATTTTAATATGGGAAGAGCAAAACTATACATGGCACTTGAGTGTGAACCTACACTGTGGCAGAGAAATGCTTTGTGGTCTTTGTCTTTTCTAATATGCTTTTCTGCTTGACACTGAGCTTGAGTGTTCTGGGGAGTAAAAATTTAGATTGTGTACCTACAGTTCACTTTATGTCTATGTCATTTGCACTTGGTATTTAATGTAATCCTGATGTTTTCACACAACATTGAAAGCACATTTCAGCTTTTTTCATTTCCTCATTTATAGCAAATTATTTACAGTCTACCCCCCTTTTTCTTTTTCCAGATCAGCTCTGTGTTGATGATCATGTCTTTGATATTAGGTAAGTGAGGGTATGATGCGGAGAATACAGATGCTGTTCTTGGAACTGCATGTTCTGAACTGTCATTGTGTATGTTTGTGGGTAGCAGAGGAGAGGACACAAGAGCTACAACAGAGCTTCTTTGGATGTGGTGAGGCTTTCTCTAGTTTTGGGAGCAATCATGCACTATTTGACAAAATGTATAAGTTACCAATTTAAGACTAGGAAAACAGAAGCAGGACAATCTGTTTGAAGTTCTGTGAAGTGTGTTTAGTACAAAAAAAGTAGGAGATGGAACCGGAAACAAAGACTAATAGCGCAGAAGAGAACGAGCTATCATTCTAGGACTGTTCCTACTAACCATTTCTATTAATGGCCCTCTTACAAAAGGCAGCATATAAATGATTTTTTTTTTTTGAAGCCTAACATTAATAGAGAAAGATCTGAGTCGTGTGAGAAATAGTTGGATAACTCCTGAAGACTAGCACAACAAGTGAAATTAAGTATCAAGTAAGATAATATTTTTTCCAATCAGATGAGATATTGATGTGATACAGCTACAGGAAATGCCATCCCAAAGTATGAAACTTCCAGATGAGCAATCAGTATTAATGCCAGAATACAAAACGCTGGTGTGAACTCTGCAGTAATGCACACAAATTCCAGCTATTGAACTACAAAAAAGAGTGAATTCAAAGCAAAACATGTATAGTGAGGTGTTGGTAGGGAAAAGGAGAACTTTGTGTAACAGCTAGGTAAGCAACAGGAGTAAGGAATAGCTTTACCTGTTCTTACCTCTTCCATGATAACAATTTAGCCCTTAGGGAAATGATAGCAAGAACAAGCAGATGATGGTTACTGGCGAATTATTAAGCTGCAAGTGTACAACATGGCCACAGTCTGACAGTGGGGCTTGCTGGGCCTAAGGAAAAGAGGGAATGTTGTTTTATGTAACTACAGGAAGAGAAAGGTAGGAAAGCAACCAAGGAAAAGAGCTCCTGAAGCCGAATCAGTTCTTCACAAAATGGCTATAAATGTCTGTTTTGGTCTCATATCATAAAACATT